AATGTGGTTAAAATCTATTTGTAATGGGCATTAATGCCAGAGCTAGCTGAATAAAGATATAATTTTGATTTTGCTACTACAAGGATATTATGATTCTTTATTTTCCTAAGGCAAAGAATTTCAAGATAACCTTTGGAAATGGAATGATAATATTATGAATAACTCAAATGCACCTTTTCTTATGTGCATATGTGCTTTTTCCAAAATGGCATAGTTGATAAAAAGCCAAATATTCTTGGAACTGAAACTAAATATTTGACATCTGGCTCAGATAATGATTGGTTGTGCTTTTCTGAACATTGCAAGGGCCAAGGGTAGTTTGAATATTTCATGTTTACCTTGTGAATATTTGTTTAGGCAACCTTCTGTCTTGTATTTCATAAAGAATTTGGCCTGCTTAAATAGTATTACTCATGTAGTTTTCACCTGTAGACTTTGAATATTTAAAACTACTCATTAAGGTTGTATTTGACACCATTTTCACTTCTAATTGCAATGTTTTAGGTTGGTCAATACAAATTTTATGAGAATATATTTTTTTATACCACAAATGCTTTGAATTATCAATACCACATTGAGTACCATTGCCACTGCTTTAGGACATGTCAAATTTGATGTTTCTACCATAAATGCCAACACCTAATTCAATGCCTATATTTTTTTAGTGTAAGTGGTTATCTGATGTAATGTAGCAAAACAATTTCTCAAAAACTTGTATTGACCAACACAAAACTTGTAAGTAGAAGTGGCAATGGTACCAAACAACCTAAATTGATAGGGCAATGATAAATCGTGTATTAACTGCAAGAATATACTTAGCAAGGGCCAATTAATTTGTTAACCAAAACCATGGTTATGTTTCTTTATTTGTATAGAGTATCTGGCATTTGGGGTAGATATAAAGATGATCAGTATTATAAGTCAATTCAACCGAACTTAGGCATTAATACCAACTGTTTGGGATCAACTACATGACCTTATCCCACCATTGTTTTCCATCAAGAATCATGCTTTTTGGTAAATTGTTATCCTTAGATCATTCCAAACTACTAGCCCTTGTTTTCTTTATCCCACAACAAGAAAATGACCTTTAGCTAGACAAAACCGTAGTTGAAAGTCAGGAAAACCATAGCTATAGACCTATAACTACGGTTTTGTTATGGATGGGACCATACCCTATGTTGCGGTGGCTATAACCTATAGTTACGGATGGTATGATCCATAGCTACAAGTGACTTTTAGCTATGGTTTTAGTTCGTAGCTAAAGGCAAAAATGAGCATGAACTGTACCTATAACTATAGATAAAACCGTAGCTAAAAACCACATATAAGCAACGGGTTGACCTATGTCCATAGCTAAAAAAGCAATTTTAATAAACTTATAGTCATGTTTTTCTGAAAAAAAAAATGTAGCTAAAGGTTTCATATAGCCACAATTTGTGCATTATTCATGGCTAAAGACTCAATTGTGGATCAATCTATAGCTACGGTTTTCTCAAACAACCGTAGATAAATGAAACATAAGAATATGGTTTATACTATGTTTGTGGCTAAAAACTCAATTGCTGATCAATTTATTACCATGGTTTTGTCAAAAAACCGTAACTAAAGGGAACATATAGCCACAGTTTGTACAATGTCCACGGCTAAAAACTTAATTGTTGATTAAGCTACAGCTAAGGTTTGATGAGAAAATCGTAGCTAAAGGTAGCATATAACTACAGTTTGTATAATGTTCATGGCTGAATGCATATATTATTTCCTATATTTAATACTTATTCATACACCACATGAAACTTGCACACAATTTTTTAAATAAAATACATTATATTATGAAATCAATAGAATGCATCTTGTATACATTTTTTTTATACATCCCTTTATTCAAAAAGTATGACAAATTGCAAGTGTTTTTATACATATTAAAATCAACATAAAAAATTTTGGTCAATTGACTCCGTTCAAACATTTGATCCACTTTGTCTCCATCCACTTGGTAGCTAAAGACTCAACTTGCAAAAAAAAAGTAGCAAAGAAAGAAAATATTAATATTTGCATATATATAAAGTTATATTTTAAAATCTAAAATCTAAGTAGCAAAGGAATAGTGAATTTTACAAATAAAGTAATCCAATAGAAATCCCTTCGAACTAGCCATTTTGTGTCACATTATTTTGGTTGAAATGTGCCCCCAAGTATAGAGGTGTCAATTGGGTTGGATGTGGTCCAACCCAATCCAGTCCAATGTGAGTCCACTTACAAATGGACTAGACCCAATCCAGTCCAAATCCAATATAAATCAAATCCAACCCAATCCATTAAAATGTAAATGAACTGAATTGGATCCAATCCAAACTGAATGAAATATCAAAAATTATATAAAAAATTACAAAAATATATTAAAATGAAGAAAATCTGAAAATTACAAAAATATACCCTTTTGGCATTGAGAAAGCACTTTTTAAAAGTACTTTGATAAAAATACTTTTGCGTAAGTGCTTTTACAAATGCACTTTTATGAAAGTACTTTGTAGAAGTGCTTTTATAAAAGCACTTTTGTACATAAGTGCTTTTGTAAAAGTATATATGTAAGTATTTTTGTAGAAGTGCTTTTGTAAAAGTAATTCTGTAAAACTACTTTTGTATAAGTTCTTTTATAAAAATGCTTTTGTAAAATGCTTTCGTAAAAGTACTTTCGTAGAAGTGCTTTTATAAAAGGACTTTCATAAAGGTGCTTTTGTAAAAGTTCTTTTGTAAAAGTTTTCATAAAAGTGCTTTTTATAAAAGTGCTTTCATAAAAGTGTTTTTGTAAAAGTTCTTCCATAAAAGGACTTTTCTAAAGGTGCTTTTATAGAAGTGCTTCCATAAAATTGCTTTCGTAAAAGTACCTTTATAAAAGTACTTCCGTAAAAATGCTTTTATAAAAGTACTTCCATAAAAGTTCTTTTGTAAAAGTGATTTCATAAAAGTGCTTTCATAAAAGTACTTCCATAAAAGCTCTTTTGTAAAAGTGATTTCATAAAAGTGCTTTTGTGTAAAAGTACTTTTATAAAAGTGTTTTTGTAAAAATGCTTTTATAAAGCTATTTCTATAAAAGTGCTTTCGTAAAAGCACTTTTGTAAAAGTACTTTTCATAAAATTACTTTGTAAAAGTGCTTTTGTACGTAAAAGTACTTTTATTAGGGTTGTTCATAAGAAGACCCAACCCAACCAAACCGACCAACCCGGACCGATTCGAAGCGAACCAACTTAGTAGTTAGTAGTTAGTTCCTAGTTAGTGGTTACAACCCACTTAGTTCCTACTTAACTAAGTTGTCTCTATCCTAATTACAACCTAACTTAATTTCTAGTCTTTTAGTTAGGAATGACATTAATGGCAAGTATTGTAAGACAACTAGACAATGAATTTTTTTGGAAAAATTTAAAGAAAAGAATCAAAGGATCCTAGTTTCTATGGTCTTTTACACCAAATAGGCAACCAACTACAATAATAATTAGGTGTCCTTTTTTGCTTATATTAGAAGGTTTCTTAAAATATACAAATTTCAGTCTTCTTTCTCTAATATAGTTTGACTTTCTATTTTCTTGATAACTTCTATTCTAACTTAGTCCGCCCCCCTTAGCCCCTCAACTCAAGCACAATCTCTAATACAATTTGACTCTCAAGCATGGTTGAACTTAGAGCCAAAACCGACCCAAACTGGTCCAACCCGACTCAAACCGACTAAGTCGGTTTTGCTTAATACATGGTTGGTTTTGGTTTCAATTTTAGGTAACCCGATCAGGTCGGGTCGGTTGGAAAAATCTCAGTAAATCGATCCAACCTGACCCGTGAACAGCCCTAACTTTTATAAAAGTGATGTTATGCCGACTTCAGTTTTGATCGGTTTCAAATTGGACATGGGTTTGGCCTTATGATCGGATTATTGGAAATTTGGTTTAAATCCAATTTAGACCAATAAGAATATGGACCAATTTATTTTAGATTGGTCCAATCAAATAATTATAATGGACTGTCCAAATCCAATTTGACAATCTAAAACCGGTCGATTGACACCCTACCCAAATAGGGCCCTTATCAAGTCATCCATCTCATTATCAATGAAAAGTTGTGAAGCTTCTTGTTTACAATTCTCTTGATAACGTGCAATGCAACTAAAGTTTAATACTTTAATCCCTTCTCATAGAACTTGTCCTTGTCTCCTTGAGAATATTTTGAAGGAGCAAATTGGAAATCCAAGTGGTTCCTTTTTCAAAACTGTCTGATGGTCCGGTCCAGTCATTGGTTGTTTGCACATGACCAAACTATATCAATTGACTTTTCCTCATTTTAATTTTTATCACTTAGAGTTACCTCCTCTGGTCTTGTCACCCATCCATTTCTAGTTTTCAACATTCTCATCTTAACAAGAATTACTTTTTTGAACGTACTGTTTCTTGATTGTCTGATGCAGATATGCTATTCTTATAGCCATCTTATAACATTTTCTTCTAGTCTCATTTGTGTAAATATGTCACAGAGCACAACAGATTCGTTTCTTTAGTTTTACCTCCTTGATCTAATTCTATGCGTTACCACCTTTTCAATTTTTTAGGTTGGATGATTGGTCCAAGTTGAAGTGGTTAGCTTGGGGTATCTTTTGACCATTAATTTTAATTCCACATTTCCACTACCATTGTGCTTATTAGTTTACCCTAGTATACGCATTTTATCTCAATTTGATCAACCTTTTGATATTGAAGTTGCCTTCTTTTCGCTTTACATTCGGCCCTCTATTCAGAGAAGGCTCCAATTATCAAATGGTATTGGAAATAATTACAGATGTTTAATTCTTTCTATTTTCTACTTTCAACATACCCAAGAACAAAAACTTTTTTCAGCTTAATAAATAACTAAATTCTCCTTTGCTGATAAAAAAAAAAAAAACAAGAACAAAATTCTGGATGATTTATTTTAGAGTTCAATCCCTTTATATTAGTAACAGCCAGTCATTGCAACATAAAAAGAATCACCAAATTATCCACAATAAACATCTAAATAATACATCAGGAATGAAAACATGGTGGTTATTAACAAGTTAATGGGCACCGATCCTCAGCTAGCAAAACTGGGGAAATATAGAACACACTTTGCGCTTGTTCAAACCTTCAAGTGGAACTATTGAGCTAACAAACTGTATGCAACTTCTATTTACAAGAAAAACAGAAAAGAAACCAAAGAACACAAGAATAAACAGAAAAAAATATATATGAATGACCATCAACGAGAACGATTATCACCATCCTCTCCATGTGACCACTCTGGTCTTTGAAAGTGAAACCTCAACCACAAACAGGTCGTCAAACGGGTTGCTTCAACTCTTATAAATCAGGTCATCAAAGAGGTGCTTTAATGCTTACAAATCCATCAGTGCTACCTTGACGAGCTGCTGCCAAGCTTCTAAAGAGAGCATATTTACCACGAGGATTAGCATTCCAGCAACATATCGTATGAATAAAGAGCACCAAATCCTACAGAGCACAGAGAAGTTAATTGACTGATCTGAATATGTGGTCAGAAGTAAATCTACGGGACGCATAATTGCTTGTGTGGAAAAAGTTAATAGTAAATTCTTGTTACTTTTGGAAATGTATAAACAACGGATGAGAACTACCATATTGTAAGCCGAGAAGCATCCTGCAGTGTATTCCACTTCCGATTTGCTCAAACCAGTTGGTTTGCCACTTTCCAACTGATGGGTCTCCAGGATCATTCTGAAGCAGCTCTCCCATTTCTTTGAGTCCATGCCCTCCAAAGAAAATGATAATCGCCTTGTTCTCGACTCATCATGAATGCAATGATGGTGATGTCAGCTCATTATCTAAATTTTGTTCATTTCTGATTGTCTCAGCACGTAATTGCCGTATCTCCAATGTTAAGATACTTTTAAAAAACTCATATGATGCAAAAAATATTGCTCCTTGAGAAATATACATAACCAATCTTGGAGTCAATCCCCTGATCACAAACATAAGGATAGCTATTAATCAAAAGACATTGTGACATAGTAAGAGTCTACAATCATTGTTGTTGTGGGGGATCAGAGGAACAAAGGATCACAATACAAAAAAAGGAAAAGAAAAACAAATCACTTGGCTAGGAACCTATGTTGTGCTAGCCTAACAAACTAAACAAAAGAAAGGTTTAAAAGTGAAAAAAAACAAGCAAGGGATTAATAAAGCCTGAGAGACAAGGCACAACATGAGGCTAGTACCCATTATGAAGGAGCCACTTAATAAAAAGAAAAGGAAAACTTAATATACAAGAATATACAAATCTAACTAGTGTTTTAAAATCCAACCAAGATCTCAAGATGTGTCCAAGATTCTGACTTAGTAAGATGAAGAAACAAGGACTCGTTGACACATCTATAGAAAAGGAGAAAAATCCACCCCACAATGGTGGGAGCCTTGTGCACTAGGCTGCCCTTTTATGTTATAAGCAAGGAGAAAAATGTCATACAGAAGTGTCCTCAAAGAATCCATGGAGTGCCAGAGTCCAATGCATGTCTGACACAGACACTTCATCCATTTAGGAGAGTCCATGCAACACTACATTCAGGACATTCTCCTTCCAAACTAACTCATCAGAGGTACAGAAACTGAACTTACTGGGCCTGCCAGACAAGTTGAACTTACTTCTTGTAACAGTAAAAAGATAAACTTGACATATAATTAAACATTGAAAATGTTAATGAAAAGAGAACTATTAAAAAATTTAAGGCTTCATGGAAATACAAAAACGTGGCAAGCTTTAAGATATAAACCTATGTGTTTAGATGCTCCAGATACTCAACTAGATTCAGTACATCATCTACTATTTTAGAACAAGAAAGGAATAGCCATACATTACCTGTAGAGACCTCTAAAGCCTTCATGCCTGGCTATTTCTTTAAGGGTGCAAAATACACCATCATATTGTCTGGAAGAACCAGGAATCTGCTTGATAACATAAATTTTTACTAAGATTACCAAAAAAATCTATGCTATAGATGTTAGTACTAAAAATGTAAAAATAAGGAAAGAAACTGCTTTACTGCCAACACTTAAATTAATAACCATTTCAATTAACAGATACTTGTTGCATGACAAGAAATACTATGTTGCTTTATATGCTTCACTTTTCTTTTTGCTTTTTTTTTTTCTTTTAGGGGGGGGGG